CTATTTCAGCACAGATATTCTTAGTTAGAATTCTAAGTTATTCCTTTGAAACAGGAATAGAAATCACCATCTCAGCTATGGGATTGTCATGCACATCCATACAAGTGTGCCATGTGAATCTCTGCCCTGTCATACAGTTTACTTTACATATATGGATTTCTGTTCCGTTTGGGATAGTCTGTTAGCTGGTGATTTCTTTCAGTTTGTTTTTCTTTATGTGGATAATAGTCATTTTACAAAAGGCTGTCTTGTTTGGGGCCTGCTGCCATGGCATGGCCATCCTCTGGAATCACTATGAATTCCTGCATCCTTTGGAAAAAAACATACAGATCTCTTTTATTTCATTTACTCACCCCCATACAACCAAAATAAAGGCTAGAACATTGTGATCAAAACCAAAAACAGTAGAAAAAAAAAAAGGGACCTATTATATACTGTGAAATCTTTGTTTCTTATGTTTCAGCCTCTTGTTTGGCACAAGAATGGTTTGCTCTGGTGGAATGTTTAAGATGTGCATTTTTCACAGCAGCTCTTGTACCCAAGTTATGGTTTGGACCATGCAAGCTGTTCAGTAGGCATGGCTCACAGACACAGCTCTGGGCAGCTAGAAAAAGAATACAAGAAACCATTACTGAGGAAGAGGATTTAGTTTTGCAAACAAACCAAGCAAGCTTCCTGCCTGCAGGTCTCGGGCATGAGAAGTGAGATTTCTGTGATTGCAACTTTGTTTTTCCACAGGATTGTTGAGAAAAAGACAGTTGCTCTTAAGTTTTAAATTTCATGGATTTTTCGCAACTGAGAATTATGTCATCCTGGGTTGTTTTTTTTCCTGGTAGTACTAATTTGCCTGCATTTAAATCTAATAATAGTTTATTAAACCTGGCATGTGGAATAGCAGAATCTTAGTGATGGAAAGATTGGGATTTGTTTCCTTTAGCAGTTTGAAGATATCCATGTCACACTAAGTTGTCTTGTGCAGCAAGTTGGTTGCTGTAAGCTGCTTCTGCCAGTGACTTTGTTTATGGGAAAAAATGATCTGGCTGTGAGAACTAGACTTACTTTAAAGTAATTGACAAGAACTGTGTCTGTGATCCCCAATATAGGCTTTTTCCAGTCACTTGGGAGAGATTAGATGTGTCTTAACATCATCTTACTAGCAGTGAAGTTGCCCCAAAAGTTTCACTGCCATCACCCTGTCTTCAGATGCTTTCTTCTTTCCTCATTGAAGCAAATAATCTTTTGCCATCTATTAGGTCCAACATTAATGCTCCTTTGCATATTAATTACTGTTACTTTACCTGTAACACTCAGCCCACCACCTTGTGGCTCTCCAGTTTGGAATCCAAAGGCCTGGACCTGATACTTTTTCCATGTGGGCAGCAGAAAACAATATATTGTGATCTTTTGATTTCTAGTGGCTTTATACAAGAATTATTGAACATAGAACAAAGTAAAGCAGAAATATGTAACAGTTGACTCAGGAATTCACCCAGTCTTTGTTTTGGCTTGTAATATGATTTATGAATGGATTTTCACTGTACAGTAAGGTAGCATTGACTCTTTATCCTAAATATTTTATGAAAGTTTTTAGGAAACTTGTGAGCAATGTTGTATCTTAGTTTTACTTACACAAGGGAGTTTAAGGAAATTTTTTGCTTTAAAGGAAGGAAAGGGGGGAGACAAGGAAAGTGGCAGTGGAGGGGAATGAGCTCTCAACAGAAGCTCTCTCAGATTAAAAGATAATTGTTACTATTCCAGGCAGGCTTTGCATTAGGACAGCTATTAAAAAACCCAAATGGTACCTGTGTCAGTTTAGAACTCAGACAATAGATACAGAAAGTCATCCTATAGAAACTGGAGCTCTGAAGATTTCCTTGGTTAAGTTAAAGCCAGTTAGGCCAACGTTTTGCTACTATCTTGAGGTGAAATGATTTTTCCAAAAGTATTATAAAAATATGTTGTAGATTATAATTATCTGTTAAAACATACTTTCCATTTTCATATTTTAGTCTGTATAATTCTATTCTAAAAAGTACACGTGTGGAGGAGAAGATCAGGAAAGGAAGGAAAGGATCTAGTGCAGATTACACTACATAAAACACATGTTTGAAATAATGCTGATATAGCTGAAGTATGTGGGCTGGGCTCTCCTTCTGTGTACAAATGATGTGCTCCTTCCATCTCTGAATGCACACAATTTTACCTTTGACATAGTAAGGAATAATGTCAATGAGTAATTAAGAAAGCATGGAAGCAAGTGTCAGCTTTGTGCTAGATTCCCAAGGTGGTTAATATACGTTAATATGTGTTACGACTGCTGTAGTTGAAAGGCACAACTAAAGGTTTGAGGGGAGAGATGAGAAGTCTTTTATTACACCATGCAGTTCAAATAGCTTGAAAAAATAGACTTTCAAACCTTGATTTTTCTCTCTCAGATCACAGTATTTATAACAAGCTGTCTTGGGATACTAATGTCCAAGGCAATGTTTCTGATAGTCATTTACTTCCAGGCTTTGGTCAGAAGTGAATGGTTCTGTTTCAAAGATTTGTAGTAATGTGGTTCTCAGAGACTGCAAATAGATGGTTTAGCTGAATACAGACAGTGCATTAAAAATGTCTAAAGAAGAAAAATAGTAGCTGGAAACAGAGATCAGTTCAGAGCTCTAGAAGCAGTAACTGGTGTTCGTTCCAGGGCAATGAGCTCTTTTAAATATACAGTAATTTTAATCAGATTTTCTCATGAAAACTTTAATAAGCTTCAGCTCACTCACCTACATCTATTTGGTAGAACATCAGTTTCTCTACTCAATATACAATCATACTCTGTGAAAGAATTCCAGGGAACTGCAGTTATTTGTGCAGCAGGGAGGAAAAGGGGGGAAATACTGTGTGAGGTTTCTGGTGAAAATGCTGATGTTCAGCATCGTGTTTACAAATGACAACACGTGTGCTTGCAATGCCACACGTTGCACTGGGCTGTGAGGACAGTGGTCTTATGCCACAGATATGATGCTCCTGTGCTTTGTTTAAGAATCTCCAGAAGAAATGCAGTTAGAAAAGTAGTGAGAGTGAGATGCAAGTGTAAGTCTCGAGTAATAAATGTGTCCTACTTTAAGGTAGCAGTGTACACATATCCTGTCTGCTTGAGGAGTGACAAAGATTTACTGCATGTAACTTTGATTCCTTACCCTGCCAAGTTCTCCCATCGAGGGCAACAGTGAGCTGGCCCCTCGTGGGTCCCCTGCTTCTGGAGGCCCTGCTCAGCACCCTGCTTCTGGAGGCAATGCTCAGCACCCTGCTTCTGGAGGCAATGCTCAGCACCCTGCTTCTGGAGGCAATGCTCAGCACCCTCTGTCTCTAGGCAATGCTCAGCACCCTGCTTCTGGAGGCCCTGCTCAGCACCCTGCTTCTGGAGGCCCTGCTCAGCACTGGCATACGACAGAGTTTGCTCCCAAGGACTGGAGGATGATCTGTGATTACAGACAGTTGTGGATTCTGAAGTCTGTGTCTTGCATTTTGAAGGTGGTGTGTGTGTATCTGATCTATACTCTTTGCAGTCTTAAGGGTTCTCTGCATTGGCCTTTGTCATCCTCTGGGCATGCTCTAGTTCTCTCAGCTGGAGGAGGATGTTCTGTGATACATCCTAGGTGCACATCAGCACACAGTGATGCAGTACAGGTTATCATCTGCAGCGGTGATTGATAAACGATCAATGATACACTCACCTCTCATTAGGAGGTGTCAGGTCATTTCTTAAGAAGAAAAATGAAGAGTTGGACATTTTACATAGTGATTATATGCCAGAAACTACCTTTCTTCACCTATGGGGCCACCTTCTCCAAAAGGGTACATTTTGTTCCATCCATGCTTTGGGCAATGGGGAGCAGGTGCATGGATGAGGAGGAAAAGGGACAGACAGTCCTTTGAGTCTCCCCTCTATCCCAGCTAAAAGCCTAAGACAAGCAAATGTTTTGTGGGTTCTGGGTGGTTTTTTTTACTTTGGTCTTTATTTCAGGTTATCTGTGACTTGGAGAACAAAGTCTGCAGTGGGATGCTCAGAGGAAGCAGCAGCTGCTGGAGCTGAGGCATCAGTGGGAAGAGGAGAAGCAGAGGGCAGCTCAGGACCATGAGGCTGAAGTGACTAAGCTGAAAGCAGAGGCAGAAATAATGACACTACACCTGAAAAAGCTACATGCCCTAGAAATGGAGAAGGCTGTGGACAAGGTAAGAGGGCCACACACTGCTTGTGGTGTGGCAAAAGGGGAGCAATCACCTCAAAATCTCCTCGGATGTGCAAACTTTCAATGGAGAAAAATGTTTAAGGGTCATTTGAGTTGAAAATAGAGATGTGTGCAGTAGATCTGACATTGGATGCTGCAATCCTGCTGTGAGGATGGAAAGTTTTGTGGTTCCATGACAGGAGCTGCCTCCTCCCCGGGCACACAGCGGCTGTGGCACTGCCAGGGCTCTGGGGCAGCACCTCCCAGCCCTGCTGAGGGGCAACCTGGGCAACTGTGAGCTCAGGAGCTGGTGGGACTTTAAAAATCCTGATGATTTCAAGGGCAAAGCCTGCCAAGGACAAGGTAAATGACTTTTTCTTTGCTGGAACAGAGTAGAAAGGGTGGCTTTATCTAACCAAGCCTTAGCTCCCATAAAAAGAGGGAAAGTTCTTAAGGGGGAAAAGGTTCAGGTTAAAACTGCAAAGAAATTGGGTCTAGTTGCTAACAATGGCTGGTCTAGTTTTGCCTGGGCACGTTGGGTGAGCAAGTACTGTGTGAAGGGCTTGAAAATAGAAATTAATGTTTCAGGTACATGGAGGCTTCACTCCCCACTCTGCTCAGAGGGGTCACTGCCCATGGATCCACAATTGCTGAGCAGCCCCTTGTACCAACATCAAGTATTTCACCACATTAGGGATGACATGAGCTAAAACTTCTGAGTTTTATTTCAAAGGCTAAATTAAGAAGCACCAGTTAATATTGATGGTAGACACTGTGTATGTGTAAGCAGAGTTGTCAAAGTATCTTTTCAATGTGTTAATGCAAGAAATGATACATTTTATTGCCAAGTGCTGGTTCCGTGGCACAAATTAACAATCTGCATATACTGTTTGAGCAGCCTTTGTGAAAGTGACATTTCATTTACCTGCGTCAGGTTCTTGGTCTGTAATTTTCAAGAGCATTGGGAGGATTATGTTGGCAATCAGCCAGGCTGGAGCCACTAAACCGGCTCTGATCAACAATTCAGAACCTTTTCTGAATGTAAGGAAAGCTCCTCTTGGCATAATTATTTAAAGCCAAGGTCAGAGAAAGTACTTAAACCTTTGAAATTCATCATTAAAGGATTAATTTTAACTCAGGAAGACATTGTCATTTTTGCTTAAAAATGGAATTTGAATCTCAATTCTTTTCTTTCTTTGATCTTTTTTCCTTTACGTGGGTAGTATAGCACAAGAAAAGTTAACTTCTTTACATCCTGAAATTAAAGTTACAAATAATCCTTCACAAGGCAAAATCTTTAATAGTCTTGAATTGTCATTTCTGTCAGAAATACTGTTTTTTAATTTGTTGGATTTTTTTCTATTTTTCAAAAAAATTGCTAATTTGAAGCTATATTAACTGCTATTGAAATTTTTAAATTATTATTATTTAGTCTAATTCCCTATTTTTACCTCTAATCAGAAGAGCACATGTTGAGTACAAGATAGGGGAAAAATAAAAAGTAGCTGTGTTGGAAAGTCTGTCACAGCCATGTGAGAATACCTTGCATTGCTTTCAAATTTCCCCTTAGCATTTTCCTTCATTTCTGTCTCCCAGTTGTAGAGCTGTGGAAATTGGCCACAAAGTCCAAAAGTCAAAATAGCTTAGAGGGCAAACTCCATTTAAAGCTCAGAAGTTACTCTTTCAGCTAACTTAGTTCAAATCTTGATCCTATTAAAGTCCAAGGAACTTTGATGAAGGAGATTTTATCCAAGGAGAAAAAAAAGAAAAAGCACATCTTAATTGTAACATGAGTCTTGAAACTTGTTTTTATCTTTCAGCCACTCCTGTTACCTTGAAATTTAGGACAATATGGGAGAAAATTTGTCCCCTAACTTTACTTTTTTTCTGCCAATTCTGTGAAGATTGCTTAAAAATCCAAGGGGAAGCTGAATTTCCCCATTTAGGCTTGGAACCTTTGAGTGTCCAGATTTTCTGAAGGTCAGTCTGTTCCCAAGTGAAGGATCTGGTTCCTCTGGGGTCTCTTTTGTGAGTGATACTGATTTCTCTGGGGGTTGTTTTGTGTAAGTGTGGACTGTTGTTCACGTGAAGATGACTAAATACAAAAGAAAAGGCTACAACTTCAGTGAAAAGAAAAACTGAAGTAAAAATGGGTAGGAGATCTAGGATTCAGAGGTAGAGGAACAGGTTTCATTGCAAGAGCACTGGATATTAAATATTTGTTGGTATTTGTAGACAACTTCTCAGTATTGAGGGACACAATTTAACATACTGGGGCATTTTCTGTTGTTTAAATATCTCAGCTTTAAATGTAGTACATTGTTTATTGAAATATTTTAGTTGATTGATTTTGTCAGTGATTCTGACATACAGGGCCAGGAAGTTGCTCAACGTAGTACAGAAATGTTTTTGAACCTGGGGTTCTAAAAGCAAATCTCTCTTGTCAGTTACTGCATCTCCCAGTCAGGGAAGGAGAAGTGGGAGAATACTTCACATGTTGCCAAATGGCACTGGGTGACCTGCACAAGAGGAAAACCAACCATGACATCTGTTATTGTGGAAATAGTAATAAAGGGAAAAGTCCATAATTGTCCACTGCCCTCCCCAGTTGCAGGTATTATTTCCAGTAACACTGCTTTCTTACCAAGGGAGCTATAACTGCCTGAAATATGCATGTTATGAGAACCTGGTGTGGCCATGGTTGGGTGGTGGAGTGGGCAGTGCTAGGTTATCAGTTGGACTTGATGATCTTAGAAGTCCCTTCCAAGCAAAGCAATTCCATGATTCTGTGGTAAGCTGGGTACCCCTGGAATTCTCCGTGCCAAGTGCTGCTCCCTGAGCTGCAGGAGAGCTGGAGGAGGTGTCAAGGGCTCTACCATAGTGGGAGTCAAAAACCTTCTGCAGTCAAGGTCCTTATCACCAGCCTGGCACGTAGAGGTGGGGCTGGGATGATGTGGGCTGGTCCAGGAGCAGCTCAGTGTGTGCTGGGCTAACATGATGCAGGGGTGGCTGTTCCTGCCAGGACAGGGCAGAGATCCAGCTTCAGCCTTGCTTCTTGCTAGGCCAGGTAACCACCTTATTTCTCACCTTTGAAGAGGTAACACTATAGTTATATGAGAACACAGAACCACTTTGTCAGATGAGAACACATTTTAATGTCCTTAAGATCAGCTAAGCCACAGTGGATGTGAATCAGGCACAACCTGAGGACAATAGCATGGAGAATTTGAAACAGCTCTTACCATCTTCTTAGGACTGCAGGACTTTCATAATGCCTGTTATCTTTCTCTAAAATAAATATTACTTGAGGATATCTCCAAATGATTTCTTGTCTCTTAGTTAAGAAACCTTACATATTGTTTCAGAAGAACACTTGGATTCAATCAAAATGATTTTGGTTTACTTTTAAAGTGTAGATTTAATTTGCTGGAGTTTCATTATAGCAGGAGATCAGAGCATTTTCTGCTGTGATGGTAGTTGAATTTTTTTTATTTGAAGTTGTACCTCATTATGATGAAATGAAACATAAACTGTTGAAGAAATAAACATAGTAGAGCTGCATCATCTTGTAGTTAGGCTCCCCTAATGAGTCATTTTGGGAAGGAGGCAGGTGTGCTGGAGGCTGCATCAGCAGCACTTAGGGCACGAGCACTAATCAGCCAGGTGTAAAAAAGCTCACAAGTGTTTTCAGGTTTGCCACAAATTACTAAAAGCAAGAGACAAAATGCATTTCTAAGTGCATGCAGATGTGAGCTTGGCTAACACGAATGTTTGTAACTTTGTCTGTGGTATTTTCTTGGCAAAGAAAATGAGCTTTCAGAGAACATGACCCAAGCAGATCAGCAGACATGCAAACAATGCTCAAAGGAAGTGACCCTGGAACTGAAAATTTCTCATAAAAAAGCTCTCTTTGAGCAGCACACGTGAGTAAATTGAAGTGGGAGAATAAAGGTTGGGTTTTTTCCCCTCTCTACATAATTTTCAAGGTTTAGCTTTTTATTGACTTCTCTTCTGTATTTAAGTAGGTAGTTTGAATCATCATGTTAAGTCTTTATGGAGGTTCCAAGAACATCTAATTCTTTTTCAGTGCTGCTTTTCTTGTGGAGAAGTAATTTACATTTTTGTGTATTGACTGTACCAAATGCACATGATACTTGATTACAGGATGAAGCTGTAGTAAAAAAAAAAACAAATATGAAAGAAAAAGGAGGAGTCAGACACTTTAGCTTCTGGACCACAGTTCTTTTGGTTTCAGTACAGTTGTGAAATGGCTCATTTCTGGAGAGATGGGACTCTAAGGTGGCTTGCAACCTGGCCAGAGCCAAGCAGATCCTTCTTGTAGGCTTTAATGATATAGCAGTTAGTGGTACTCTGAGACTTCTGTAATTTTAAATGAAAATTGATATTTTAAATGGTTTCTAGTCCGCATGTTACAATCACTCCACCTGTGTCTGGTGGAAAGTCCACATGAAACTAAAATGCCTTGGAAACTCAAAGTGAAGGCTAAAATTTAGAAAAATAAAAATAAGTTATGAGACTGTTTCCCTATTTAAGATCAGCAACTTCATATAATAATTATAATGTAATATAATGGTTTTGTAATGGGACCTTTTTCAAATATCTGCAATGTTCTAGAATTGGATGCTTAATTTTTCTTCAACTTGCATGTAGTTTGCACATAATGTGCCCTAGAGAGTATTTTGCTCTTTCCTTTTTCATCAGGCTTTCTGGTGCTGGATTAATTAACCAGCAAGTACAGCCCTAGGATGCAGTCCAGCTGGACATGCTTGTTGGGCAAACTTTCCTACTGCAAATGCAGGAATCTCTTTAATTCACAGTATCTGTTCCAGCATTATTGTCAGTACTTATACAGATGATGTCACACTGTTCAGCACTGGCAAAGAAATAGATGATGGAGAGAGAGAATATGACATCTTCAGAGATTAAAGAGATACTCCATGAAAAGCATTGGATGTCCCCACGCAGTGAAGTTACTTCTGCTCA